AATATTCCCCAGATTTGATTTAATGGCAAGCCATGCTTTAGAAAGCAATGTTAACAATCCGATTACGTGTCTGTTGGCCGGCATGTGGCTGATTCAATGTGCCGGCAGGTTCCTCTGATGGAAACAGACTGACATAAGTGACATAACTATTTGACGGTCAGACTTTTTACTGCGTAGCTGACGACACCTTTCCCCTATATTGGTTATCCGTGTATGTAGACTTCAACCTTTACCCTATATAAATAGTGACAGCTCAGGCCGGGCTCACAGCCAACATACTCTGATCGCAGGGTGCGGCAGCTGAAATTCAACCTGTCCTCTATATACAAAAGCAGACACGTGAAAACTGTGATAAACAAAAACTGCTACTAAATGACAGGAGGCTCCAGAAATTGCCAGATTGTATCTGGATTTTACCCAAAAAGCCCACACAGCAACAAAATACCTAGAATTCCACGGTATGGGGACAGCCGGCCTATGTCTTGTCACAGTGCAGTGGTCGGGGCCTGAGAGGCCTGCTGCCGCATGGAGAACGGGGCCGGCCGAACCGAAGCCTTTGAAAATACTGATTTTTAGAAAGTGGGATTTCTGGAGAGTCCTAGATGTAATAAAGTAGTATGTTTTTAACCACTTCCTGTCCGGATACTTTTACCCCCTTCCTGACCAGGGCAATTTTCAGCTTTTAACGCTATCACACTTTGAATGACAATTGCGCTGTCATGCAACACTGTACCCAAATGAATTTTTTACCATTTTTTTGAGACAGATAAAGCTTTATTTTGGTGGTATTTATTCACCGCTGGGATTTGTATTTTTTTTTGCTATGTAAATGAAATGTCCAAACGTTTTGAAAAAAGTGTTTTTTTTTTATAAAATTTTGCAAATAAAAATATTTCATCATAAATCTTTGCCAAAATTTATTCCGTTATCTTTTTAGTAAAAAAAAAAAAATCCAAATTAGTTTATAACCAAAAATTATAATTTTTAAACATTTTTTTTTTTTTTTTTTTTTATTTTTTTTTTATATTTTTTATTTTTTTTTTTTACATACTGTCACCCTAGCAGTACAGTGTCACCATGGTGACACTGTATACTTGTGGGGGGTGATGAAGATTTTTTTTTTTTTTTTCTTTACACTGATTGCTTTTACACCCATATAGGATGTAAAAGCAATCATTTCTCTTTCTCTCTGTCTGCATTCTTGCAGTCATTGAGAAGTACTGAGTGAGCTGTGATTGGTTACAGCTTGTCACATGGTACAAGGCTTTTGTGAATAGCCTTGTACCATGTGACCTCTGTGATCATTCACAGATTTCACACGTAGTAAGCAATGATGTCACAAGTGACATCTTGCTTACTACTTTGCATGTGATCACTGATTGGCCAATCAGTGATCACATGATCGGGACCTCGTACAGAGGTCCCGTCCGACGATCGGTGTTTCACTGTGTCCGGAGGACACAGCGGGCACCGGATCGCGGTGCTGCGGGCACCGGATCGCGGTGCTGCACGCTCCCAGGGAGCGCGCACAAGCAGGATGCGGGGAGGCCGTTTATATGCAACGGGACGGTCGGGAAGTGGTTAAGTGGTAATAAAGTTGTTTTTTTTTTTTTTTTTTTTCAATTTCTTTCGGTAAAATAACAAACATGTCGTTATTATTTTTATTATTTCTATTTTTATTATTATACAGGATTTATATAGCTCCAACAGTTTGCGCAGCGCTTTAAAATATAAAGGAGATAGTACAACTACAATACATTTCAGTACAGAAGGAATATGTCATACTTGCCTGCTTTGTGCAATGGTCTTGCACAAAGCAGCTCTGATCCCTTTTTTTTTTTTTTTTTTTTTTTTTTATATGGGGTCCCCTGCCGGTGCTCCTGGCTCCTCGCCTCCGCTGAGTGCCCCCAAAGAAAGCTGGTTTCAGGCTCGCTCCTGAGCTGCCCTGTCTGTGTCTCCTGACACACAGCTCAGCCCCACCGCTCTCCCTTCCCGTTCGCGAGTCACAGAATTTGACAGAAGCGGGAGCCATTTAAATGGTTGAGAGGGGCACAGGAAGACGTCACCCCCACAAAGGGGGACATTATACACTCCAAATTCTAAATGAATGTTCTCTGCGTCTTGATGCGCTGTTATTGTCTCGTATGGGCCTCCCATTGAACTAAAATGCAGAGAATAACAGACGCGTCATATTTTTCAAAGCACACTGCAGTGCTGAGATGGGAATTTTTTATTGGGGAACCAATACATGTTGGAACACATATGTTAGGCCCTTTTTTTACATGGGGGCGAGCTTTGTTTAGATCAGCAGGGGATCTGTCCGCTGACCCCCTGCTGATCGGATGACAGGTCCCTGTTTGCTCAGTTTATGCAGAGTATGAGCGGCTGGGTGTAAGGTTTGGATCGCATATATGCATTTTGCGTTTTGATCCTGTCTCCAGTGCTTCTTGCAGTTTGATTTGCACTTTTGATGTATTTTTACTGCATTTTTGTGTTTTTGTTCAGCTCTTTTTTTTTTTTTTTTTTTTTTTTGCTGGGCAAATAAAATGAATAAAAGAATAAAAATGCAGGACGTGGCAAAAACGCTCTACCATGCATTTCAGCAGCTTCTCCATTGAACTCTATTGTAGCAAAAACGCTGCTTTTTGCTTTTTAAAGGGTCCCTGACCCTTTCCATAAACGCAGCAGCTCAAAAAAGCCTATATGTGAGCGTGTTCCAAAGGAAACCATGTTAAATGGACTGTAGTGCGTTTTCTGCAAAAACGGGAAAAAACGCATTGGTGTGAATGGAGCCTAAATGATCATAGGAAGGCAGATCTCTATCTCAGAGGTAGATGGGTGTAAACGGACACAAGTCTGCTTACACCTTGCTGCCGATCAAGTCCGCCTGAAAAACTGACAGGTGGACCTGATCCGACCCTTTGGGCTTGTTCACGCTTGACTGCTTAACAAATGCCCCTATAGCATTTGACAGGTGTTAGGGGAGCGTTTTTAATGCTCCCCAAATGCTTATGTGCGGTTTTGAGGCCTATAATGAAGTTAATGGTATTAACGCCCGGCAAACGCATGCCAGGAGTTTGAGGAGTGCCACCATAGACTTGAATGGGACACGTTGAAAGGCTTCAACTCCTCCTGACTGGACATAAGGCGTCAATTTTGCCGGCCAACACTTCATGAGCGCTGTGTGTGCCATGTGTATCATTTTTTGAGGAGTGCCACCGACTTATGGGACGCATTGAAAGGCTTCAGCTCCTCCTGACTGGACATAAGGCGTCAATTTTGCCGCAACGCCAACACTTCAATGTGAACAGCGCTGTGTGCTGCCATGTGTATCATTTTCATAGACATCTGAGGAGTGCCACCATAGACTTGAATGGGACGCGTTGAAAGGCTTCAGCTCCTCCTGACTGGACATAAGGCGTCAATTTTGCCGCAACGCCAACACTTCAATGTGAACAGCACTGTGTGCTGCCATGTGTATCATTTTCATAGACATCTGAGGAGTGCCACCATAGACTTGAATGGGACGCATTGAAAGGCTTCAGCTCCTCCTGACTGGACATAAGGGGGTTGATTTACTAAAGCTGGAGAGTCCAAAATCAGACTCCCTTCTGCATAGAAACCAATCAGCTTCTAACCTCAGCTTGTTCAATGAAGCTTTGGCAATGAAACCTGGAAGCTGATTGGTTTCTATGCAGAAGGGAGTCTGATTTTGGACTCTCCAGCTTTAGTAAATAAACCCCTTGGCGTCAATTTTGCCGCAACACTAACACTTCAATGTGAACAGCACTGTGTGCTGCCATGTGTATCTTTTTCATAGGCATTTGAGGAGCGTTAAAAACGCCCCTCAAACGCCTGCAAAACGCCTGCTTACAAAGCTAGTGTGAACCTAGCCTTTGTATGAAAGGGTCCTTTAAAATGAACAGTGTAAATGGGCCCTGAAGTTTGTACAGGTTTTAGTTTTTTGTTTTTTTGTTATTATACAGGAGTTATATCGCGCCAACAGTTTGCTCAGCGCTTTACAAAATGAAGGCAGACATTACAGTTACAATACAATTTGGTCCAAGAGGGAACAGAGGGCCCTGATCCTGAGAGCTTACAATCTAGGAGGAAGGGTTGAGTGATACAAAAGGTAATAGCTGTGGGGGGAGGAGCTGATGGAGGAAATAAATGGCAGTTTACTAGGTAGAAGCAGGATAGGCTTCTTTAAAAAAGTTTTCAGGGATCGTCTAAAGGTGGATAGTTTAAGAGACAGCCGGACATATGGGGGTAGGGAGTTCCATAGGATGGGAGAAGTCCTGGAGGCGAGCGTGGGAGGAGGTGACACTGGAACTAGAGAGCAGAAAGTCTTGGGAGGATCAAAAAGAGCGGTTTGGTTGCTATTTTGTTTGTGGTTTTTTTTTTTTGTTTGTTTTTTTTTTCCATCCCTGTGCATCTACATGAAGGCGTTGTATACCTGTACGCTGTGATACGGTATGTAATCCTGTCCAATCCAGGCTCTCCAGTCCTGAAATACAATCAGAGTGTTTGCGGTGAGAGTTGTACACTTGGCAGTGATCTTTGCTGTCTGTCAGCCAGCCAACTCGCCCTCTGATCCTCCCGTGTGACTCCGCCGCAGGGCACAGTTCACGCGTGTGAATGTCAGTGCTTGGCCAGAGGTGTGGGAGTACGGAAGTTTCCATATCGGGGTGGAGCGATGGAAATCCTTGCTAAGCCATTCTATATAAAGGAATTCTTATTCAGATTGAATCCTGATCTACATTTCCTCTGTTTTGTCAATTTGTTCTTTTTGTTTAAGCGTTGCAATCATATATTACAATCAAAGGCAAGATCATTAGTTAGTGGAAGAAAACGAACTGAGACCATCCTTCCTAACCGTTATGGAGCTGCATGTCCAAGTATTGTCCTTCAGCCATGATGGGACTTGTAGTCCATTGCATTGTTTTGTACGTTTCTGATATAAACCTTTATTCACTGTTCATCTTGATGTTGTTTTGTTTACAGGCTTCACCTGCCGATCACTATCAATGTCTTCCGCCATGCTTTGTAAGTTACATTGTTGTCTGTCGTCTCGTGTTCTGGGGGAATCGCGGGTCTCGGCTCGCTGTATAACGTTACCATCTGTGTTGTGTCATTTCAGCAAGAACGCATGTGAACTATGAAGTCAAAAAAGATGTCGCCGTTGTCCGCTTTAACACCCCAAATTCTAAGGTATAACTTGGACCGCAGTCTTTCTCTTTGAAATTTTGTCTTTTCTGATTTAACCACTTCCTGTCTGGCCGCTGTATATAAACGGCCGGACGGTGGCAGTGCAAGGGCGGGTTGCCGTTCATAAACGGCGCCCGCCATTTTGGATTGTGCGCGCTCCCTGGGAGCGAGCGGCACCGCGATTCGGTGCCCGCTGTGTCCTCTGGACACAGTGGAACACGGATCGCTGTTTGGGACCTCTGTGTGATGTCCCAATCGTGTGATCACTAATTGGCCAATCGGTGATCACAAGAATAGGTGTAAGCAAGATGTCACTTCTGACATCACTTCCGTCCGGCCGCTGTATATAAACGGCTGGATGGTGGCAGTGCAGCGGCGGGTTGCCGTTCATAAACGGCGCCTGCCATTTTGGATTGTACGCGCTCCCTGGGAGCGAGCAGCACCATGATCTGGTGCCTGCTGTGTCCTCCGGACACAGTGGAACACTGATCGCTGTTTGGGACCTCTGTGTGAGGTCCCGATCATGTGATCACTGATTGGCCAATCAGTGATCACATGAATAGTAGTAAGCAAGATGTCACTTGTGACATCGTTGCTTACTATGTGTGAAATCTGTGAATGATCACAGAGGTCACATGGTACAAGGCTATTCACAACAACAATGACCAATCACAGCTCACACAGTATTTCTCAATGGCTGCAAGAATGCAGCAATAGAGAAGGAGAAATGATTGCTTTTACAGCCTTTATGTGCGTTAAAACAAAAAACAAAAAAATCTTCATCACCCCCCATTGTACAGTGTCACTATGGTGACACTGTACTGCTAAGGTGACTGTATGTTAAAAAAAAAAAAAAAAACATAAATCTAAAAAAATAAAATAAAAATGTAAAAAAAAGTTTTAAAAATTATAATTTTTGGTTATAAACTAATTTTGGGTTTTTTTTTTTTTTTTTTACTAAAAAGATAACTGAATACACGTTGGCCAAGATTTATGAAGAATTATTTATCTGCAAAATTTTATAAGAAAAACACTTTTTTTCCACATTTTTAGACTTTCATTTATATAGCAAAAAAAAAAAAATCCCAGCGGTGAATAAATACCACCAAAATAAAGTTTTATCTGTCTCAAAAAAATGCAAAAAAATTCATATGGGTACAGTGTTGCATGACCGCACAATTGTCATTCAAAGTGTGATAGCACTGAAAGCTAAAAATTGGCCTGGGCAGGAAGGGGGTAAAAGTGTCCGGACTGGAAGTGGTTAAAGCCATCTAAAGCTATGCGGTTGTAAAGTTTTCCATCTGATCCTGCTGAAGTGGAGCTAAAGTTCTGCTGTCACAAACAGTGGCGAGCAGGCCGCTCTTTATTGCAAAAGAGACATGCAATGTCTAGAATACACTTACCTGCCTGCTGTCGGTGTACTCCAACAAGTAAACCTAGCGGGTGCATGCGGAGCTCTTCTTATGTCGCCGGAGCGGTCCTTGTGTGTTGGGATGACTGCTTTCTGTGAGGCCCCCCCCCCCCCCCCGCACCAGCCAATGTAGACGGCCAATTAAAGGAAAGGTCATTTTGGCTCCGCTTTAAAGTGGAAGTTCAGTAAAAATCTGACAAAGGACAAACCTACTTTCACACCCTATTTTATTTATTTATTACAGGTACTTGTATAGCGCCGTCAATTTACGCAGCACTTTACATATATATATATATAGTACATTCACATCAGTCCCTAACCCTCAAGGGGTGTACAATCTAAGGTCCCTAACCCTCAAGGGGTGTACAATCTAAGGTCCCTAACCCCAAGGGGTGTACAATCTAAGGTCCCTAACCCTCAAGGGGTGTACAATCTAAGGTCCCTAACTCACATTCATACATACACATACTAGGGACAATTTTAGACAGGAGACAATTAACCTACCAGCATGTCTTTGGAGGTGGGAGAAAACCGGAGTACCCGGAGAAAACCCACACAGGCACAGGGAGAACATGCAAACTCCAGGCAGGTGGTGCCATGGTTGGGATTCAAACCAACAACCCTAGTGCTGCCAGGCAGAAGTGCTAACCATTTAGCCACTGTAATCAGGAGAGGACTGGGTATCTTTGGCTTAGGGGGGCAAACAACCAACAGGCTCTTTCATGTAAGGACAGATTTATGTGGTCTGAAGAACCTCAAGGGGCGTACAATCTAAGGTCCCTAACTCACATTCATACATACACATACTAGGGACAATTTAGACAGGAGCCAATTAACCTACCAGCATGTCTTTGGAGTGTGGGAGGAAACCAGAATACCCGGAGGAAACCCACGCAGGCACAGGGAGAACATGCAAATTCAAGGCAGGTGGTGCCGTGGTTGGGATTCGAACCAAAGACCCTAGTACTGCCAGGCAGAAGTGCTAACCATTTAGCCAGTGTGTTTTAAGACTATTCTGTCTACTCAATGAAAGAAAAAAAAACTGTGTACTTACCTATTCTGAAGCCGCTTTGGTCCAGTCACATGATCTCTCCAGCAGCGGCTTGAGTGTAGAGGGGAGATCATTGACACTGGCTACAAATGCCTGTGCGGTGACATCCCCCACCGTGGGATCTTGTGGGCTGCCCTGCTCTACACTGAAGCCAGTGCTGGGATCCGGTCATGTGACCGGAGCGGCTTTAGAATAGCTGTAGTGTAAGTGTAAGCATCCTTTCTTTCACAGAATAGGCTTCTAATGGGGGTGGGCATAGGTGTAGACTTAGATTCTGACTGAACTTCCACTTTAATCCTGTAGAAAGACCTGTTACTGTTGGCAGCTACACAATACCCTTTGGCAATTCGCTATGGCAGAGGATGAGATGCATTGTCAAAGGGTGGTGCTTAGGCAGAGCCAGCCAATTCGTAGTTCAGCCTCCTTTTGACAATGTCTCTTGCCTGCTTTTATCAGATTCAGTGCCTACAGTGGTGTGATCCCTAGCCATAGTCCTTGGCTCTGACCATTCATGGGGTCTTTGGCCCACACGGCCGCATATATTAAGCCATTTATTACTTAATGCTCTAAAATATAATGTAGTTGTTTGTTAATTGCTCTATTTTTGTTTGCCGTGCAGGTGAACACCCTGTCCAAGCAGGTGCAGAGTGAATTTGGTGACGTCATGAATGAAGTCTGGGCCAACGATGCTGTGAAAAGTGCTGTCCTGATCTCCAGCAAACCAGGCTGCTTCATCGCCTGGGGCCGATATCAAGTGAGACCTGCTTCTTCAGATGGTTGCTGACTTTGCTAGGGCTCCTTTTAGGCCAGAGGTGGCTTATGCCTTTCTGTGAATAGGTGGTAAAACACTTGCCAATCCTTAAACACATCACTGCCTTACAGGGGCTTGTAACACATAAACAGAAGTCGCGGTCCTGGTAGTAAGAATCGGCGCCTATTGGCGAAAGATTTTCCATTGCATTTGACAAATTTTTGAGGTCCTGAAAGCTGGAAGTGTTTACCACAGCTTGCTAAGGAACACCTACGTTGGCCAGTCATTGTGGATAATGCCCAAACCTGGCCAGGATTGGATATTTGTACAGGCACCCTAATTGCACCTAAGGTATTCTATTCTGGCTTGATGCAGGATTGTTGATTCATCCCCGAAATGTATATTTCTCAACAAGTCCAGCAGTGAAATCTTTACACATACCATTATTGTAACAGAGGTTTCCGTATGGGTTTTTCTATTTACCATTATTTAACAGTGTTGTGTGCTCTTGCCCTTTAAGAATTCTTTATAGCAAAAGTTAGAACCCCTGTCAGGGTTTTATTGCTGTCTGTGTCCCCCCCAGTGTTAATTTTGATGTCAAATTTTAGTTAGTCTTTGGACTAAAATGCCATTTTAGTTTTAGGTGTATTTTAGTCATCTGAATTGTTTGTCATACTGTATGGGCGGCTGAAATGGGCCGGCGCGGCGGCTGAAATGGGCCGGCGCATTGTATGCGGCTAAAATGGGCCGGCGCATTGTATGCGGCTAAAATGGGCCGGCGCATTGTATGCGGCTAAAATGGATCGGCGGCTAAAATGGGCCGGCGCATTGTATGCGGCTAAAATGGGCCAGCGGCTAAAATGGGCCGGCGCATTGCAGGCGGCTAAAATGGGCCAGGGCGCATTTTGCAGGCGGCTAAAATGGGCCAGGGCGCATTTTGCAGGCGGCTAAAATGGGCCAGGGCGCACAAACCGTGCAACTTTAAAATATTAAAAAAAAAACCTGTACTCTATTGGCTGTAATGCCATTGCACATATTACCTGAATATATTACCAACATTAAAATATTAAGGCAAAAAAATAAAAGCCTTTTTCTTTTTTTTTTTTTCAATTTTTTGCAGCTTGGTAGACACCCCCTACTTATGTGGTAGTGCAGTGTTAATTTTGACATCAAATTTCAATTTATTTTTAGTTCGTCTTTTACATAAAATGCCGTTTTAGTCATCTAAATTGTTTTATATTTAGTGGTATTTTAGTCAACTAAAATAATGTTCATTTCATCGGCATAAATCTTTGTAGATGAAATTAACATTGGTCTCCCCCCTTCCCCACATCTGACCTGGTGACCATTATCAACAGGACAGAATGTAGTGGAAATCCAGACTTGTCACCAATTATTTGATCGGAATAGAGGGGAAAATCTACCAATGGCACACATTTCAGTTAAAACTTTCTCCCTCTCCTCTTGAGGTGCAATCACACTTGCGAATACACTTGCACACCATTTAGATGTAAGAACCCGATTAAGGGATCCCATGATTAGCTGCAGGAGGCAGCCCCATTGAAAGTAATTGGCGGCTGCCGTCTCCTGCTTCTAATGCCAGCCACTTGCATGCAATGGAGCCATCACATGGAAGTGATCACCGAACGATCGATTACATGCAAGGGGCCATGATTAGCTGAGGGAGCTGTCAGCCACCCATTGCTTTTAATAGGACTGCTTCCTGCAGCTAACTGGGGGAACCCCCGCTGGGTTTTTTTTGCATCTGATTGCAGTGTTGGGTGCATTTGCAGGTGTGAATGCACCCTTTGGCCATTAACAAAACCTGTGGCTGTGTGTGTGTGGTGAATAGCCAGGGGGAGAGTGAGGCAGAGACAGGACTGGGGTCTGAGACAGCAATGCAGAACAGCAGAAGAACAAGATGGTTTGACAGATGTAGAAAAAGCCTACATGACGAGGTGGCTTTGATGGTTAAGGAGTTTTTAACGGTTTCAACCTGGGTAAAGGCAATTGTGTCCAGAGTTTGACTTTATATATATATATATCTCTATCTAATCTATCTAATCTATCTAATCATCTATCTATCCATCTATCTTGTATTGTCCATCCTTCTCATATATCTATCTATCTATCTATCTATCTGATCTATCATATCTATCTGATCTATCATATCTATCTGATCTATCATATCTATAGATCTAGATCTCTAGATAGATCTAGATAGATCTCTAGATATAGAGATAGAGCTAGATCTATATCTATCTATCTACCGTATTTTTCGCTCCATAAGACGCACCTGACCATAAGACGCGCCTAGGTTTTAGAGGCGAAAAACAAGAAAAAAAAATATTCTGAACCAATGGACTGCAGACATAGTACAGGAGATGACCAGAGACTGTGGACACAGTACAGGAGATGACCAGAGACTGTGGACACAGTACAGGAGATGACCAGAGACTGCAGACACAGTACAGGAGATGACCAGAGACTGCAGACATAGTACAGGAGATGACCAGAGACTGTGGACACAGTACAGGAGATGACCAGAGACTGCAGACACAGTACAGGGGATGACCAGAGACTGCGGACACAGTACAGGGATGACCAGAGACTGTGGACACAGTACAGGAGATGACCAGAGACTGTGGACACAGTACAGGGGATGACCAGAGACTGTGGACACAGTACAGGGGATGACCAGAGACTGTGGACACAGTACAGGGGATGACCAGAGACTGTGGACACAGTACAGGGGATGACCAGAGACTGTGGACACAGTACAGGGGATGACCAGAGACTGTGGACACAGTACAGGGGATGACCAGAGACTGTGGACACAGTACAGGGGATGACCAGAGACTGTGGACACAGTACAGGGGATGACCAGAGACTGTGGACACAGTACAGGGGATGACCAGAGACTGCGGACACAGTACAGGGATGACCAGAGACTGCGGACACAGTACAGGGGATGACCAGAGACTGCGGACACAGTACAGGAGATGACCAGAGACTGCGGACACAGTACAGGGATGACCAGAGACTGCGGACATAGTACAGCGGATGACCAGAGACTGCGGACAGTACAGGGGATGACCAGAGACTGCGGACACAGTACAGGGGATGACCAGAGACTGCGGACACAGTACAGGGGATGACCAGAGACTGCAGACACAGTACAGGAGATGACCAGAGACTGCGGACATAGTACAGGGGATGACCAGAGACTGCGGACACAGTGCAGGGGATGACCAGAGACTGCGGACACAGTGCAGGGGATGACCAGAGACTGCGGACACAGTGCAGGGGATGACCAGAGACTGCGGACACAGTGCAGGGGGATGACCAGAGACTACGGACACAGTGCAGGGGATGACCAGAGACGGCTGACCTTTGGGGAGGGAGGGGGAGCAGGTACCTGAATTTGACAGGCACTAGCTCCCACTTCCGCGGCGTTGTCTTTCCCTCTTCTTCCCGGGCCGGCTTCTGTGACAGCCGGGTGCCCACTGCGCATGCGCGAGAAGCGCTGCGCTTTGTGAATGGCCCGGTGCCTTCTGGGACCTGTCGTGTCCCAGAAGACACCGGATCATTCACAAAGCGCAGCACATGCGCAGTGGGCACCCGGCTGTCACAGAAGCCAGCGCGGGAAGACTGCAGCGCTGGAGCGAGGAACAGGTAAGGCCCTGCAGGAGAGAACAGCTGAGCGGCCGGCCCGGTATTCTGACATGGTGGCGGCAGAAATACCGGACCGGCCGCTTTATATTCGCTCCATAAGACGCACTGACATTTTCCCCCCTTTTTTGGGGGGAAAAAAGTGCGTCTTATGGAGCGAAAAATACGGTATCTATCTAAAAAAAGTTTGACTTTAGATATACTTTCACTTTTTTCAGGCAAGCAATACTTTTCAAACTTGGTCTAAAGCTTTGTAACTCATTTCTGTTAAACCTTGAGTGAGTTGCTCTGTTCATGACAGCAAATCTTTCTTTCAGCATGATTGAAACCTGTAAGAGTGCACAAGAAGTCTCACAGTTGTCTGCCGAGGGTCAGAAAATGTTTGAAAAACTTGAAAAGTCCCCAAAACCCATAGTGGCTGCAATCAATGGATCGTGCTTGGGAGGAGGCCTGGAGGTGGGTGTATACACTGGGATGAGATGTTCCATCTTGTTTTGGGAAATGTGGGATACACACGTTAGAATAATAAGATATTAAAGAGGAAATAAACTTTCAGTACTTGCCTGTCCTTCATTCTTCCATTGTTCCATTCAGCTGCTATGAGTTTAGAATCCTTGTGTGAGCTCCAAGGCACTTCAGTTGAAGCATATACAGGACTGAGGAAAAATGTAATCTCCAAACACAAAGGTTTCTTACAGTGAGAGCTGTGAAAATGTGGAATAGACTCCCTCAAGAGTTGGTTCTGGCCAGCTCAGTGGATTGCTGTAGGAAAGTCCTGGATTCTTTCTTAGATACACAGAATATAACTGGATATAACATTTATAGGTAAAGTTGATCCAGGGAATATCCGATTGCCTCTCGGGGATCAGGAAGGAATTATTTTCCCAGCAGGAGCAAATTGGATCGTGCTTTGCTGGGTTTTTTTTGCTTCCTCTGGATCAACTGTGGGTATAGGATTAACTTTTTTTTATGGTTGAACTGGATGGACTTTTGTCTTTTTTCAGCCAGACTAACTATGTAACTAATGCAGGCCATAGATGGGTCGAAAATCGGCCAATTTTTCGGCCGAAAATAAAACCGGCCGCTTTTAGGATCGTTAGTGGGCTATTTTTTCGGCTGTTTTTCGGTATTTTGGCAGATTTTTTTTTTATCGGTGAAGTTGGAAAAAAATCGGCCGATTTTGCCGATCGGACGATTTTTGCGGCAATGATGGGCAAATCGGCCGATTTTTTTTTTTTTTTTTTTTTTTTTTTTTAACCAATAAAAAAATCTACGCATGAGCCGTGACCTGCAAGAGGAAGACAAAAAGAAGAGGAAGAGGATGAAAAGGATTTATTGATTTATCTAATCGAGTTTATATAGCGCCAAAGGGTTTGCTCAGCGCTGTACAATAGAGGGGGGGACAATACATGAAACAGTACAGTAACATCAAACAGTACACGAGGGGTAAGAGGGCCCTACTCTTTCGAGCTTACAATCTAGGAGGGAGGGGGTAGAGGCACAGGAGGAAACAGCTGTGGGGGATGGAGTGGTAGGAGGAGAGAAGGGCAGCGGCTGTTAGGTGAGGGTGGGGTAGGCTTCCCTGAAGAGGTGGGTTTTCAGGGAGCGCCTGAAGGTGAGGAGGGAAGGTGACAGTCTGATGGATTGGGGTAGTGAGTTCCAGAGGATGGGGGAGGACCTGGAGAAGTCTTGCAGTCGTGCATGAAGGATGAGGAGGAAGAGGAGGAGGAGGAAGAAGATGAAGAAGAAGAGGAATTCCAGTCCGGCAAAAAGTGTCCCTGCAGAGAGCTCCGCTATTTCTTTGACAGTTCCTTGACATTTACAGCGGTTGCAACAATGTATCTATTTATTTCCGAATAAAAACATCTGTATCCTAAATGGATACAAATAGATACATTGTTGCATCCGCTATAAATTTCAAAGAACTGTCAAAGAAATAGCGGAGCTTTCTGCAGGGACACTTTTTGCCAGCTGTAGATGGGATGAAAATCGGCCGTTTTTTTTTTTTTTTTTTTTTTTTTTTTTACAGTTGCTGGTAACGTCGGCCGCTTGAACGACCGATTTTTTTTTTTTTTTTTTTCGTTTTTTTTTTTTTTTTTTAAAGAAAAATCCTCCGGTTTTCTCCCCGTCTATGGCCTGCATAAGTCCTCCTAATTGAGACAAGTACACACCATAGAGGGATATGCTTTGTTCCCATTTCATATCGGAGGTTTACAACCACTTGAGTCCCTAGAGATGGCACAGGTGAACTGCAGCAGCTCCGGTCCTGATAACTATACAAGTAATCCCCAGGTATACCAACTTCACATGAATAGTGGGTTCCTATGCTAACTGGAATACAGGGTTCAGTGATGACCGCAGGACCACCACAAAACACCCAGTTTAACTAAAACTGGGAATACCAGAGCTCGGCTAACTAGAGAGACTTCTACAATTTTCAAGATTACAGAGCATTGAGGTCGGCTTGTAAGTTGGAGACATCCTGTAAGACGTTCTTCCGCTGCACAGCTTGGTGTCATTTCTGTCTGCTGCTTCCTTCCTCTGCAATCAGCATGAAACTCTTCTGACAAGTTTTCCTGACACCAAGCGAAAATAAATGGAGTGGGATTTCCAGCACACAACCTGTGGTTGATGGCCTCAGCTCTGTTACGGTGTGCTGTGTGACAGGGTGGCTGTCCCTTCCCTTCAATCAGCTCTCCAAGCTCCCCTCCCTGGGCTCTGCAGAGTGTAATTTTAGCTCTGACAGCTTAGAAAAGCTTTATGAATTTTGCTTTTAAACGGATATGCAGAAGAAATGATGCAGATAAACAGGTACAACCTATGGAGGATTTGTTTCATCTCTGCCTATCACCTGAGGCCAGTCACTTCAGTGGGTATATGTAAGGGTTTACAACCATTTAGTTATGGCAGGTTATATACCATATTGAGGATACATTTTGTTTTCACTTGCCTGAACAAAGCAGAGTGAGACTGAAGCAGGGATGAGGATATGCTGCTGGGGAAGAGGGCATTATAAAAACCTGTTACTGTATTCTTACTTTTTTAATTGTTACCTATTGGCTTCTCGCTTCCCGACCACCCTATAGCAGAAATACTGTTACAGGGCGGCACGGGTGCGCAAAATCACGTGTATATATACGTCATTTTGCATTTCCGGGTAGGGGGCACGTGCGCCATTTTCGGCCAGTGCTGTCTATCACCTGGTCCCGGCTGGTGATTATTCATCGGCACCAGGTGATTGCCAAACATCTTTGATGGGGCGGAGAACTGTAAACAAAACAGATCTCCTTCCTGTCAACTCTTGCACACTGCTTTGGATGGCTGCACACAGCACAGCCATACAAAGCAGTGTGCTTACAGTGAAGCACAAACACATAGTAAAACAGCACACTGTTAACCCTTTGATTGCCCCACATCTTCACCCCTTCCTGCCCAGTGCCATTAGTACAGTGTCAGTTTTTTTTTTTTTTTTTTTTTTTTATAGCACACTGATCACTGTATTGGTATCAGTGACACCAAGTCAGTTCCCCCCAGTGTCAGAATGTCTGCTGTAAGTCGCTGATCGCCGCCATTGCTAGTAAAAATAAAAAGCAAAAATCCTAGTGTGTATCTATACCGCCATTTGTAAACGCTATAATTTTCACGTAAACCAATTAATTTACACGTATTGGGATTTTTTTTTTAGGAAAGACATGTCACAGATTACATTTTGGCCGAAATTTGATTTAATTTTTTTTTTCTTTACATGTTTAACCACTTACCCTCCTCGCGCTCCCCATAAATGCAAAATGACATGTATATACACATGATTTGCACACCCGTGCTGCCCCGTAGCAGTGTTTCTGCTATAGGGCGGTCGGGAAGGGGCCAATAGCAAAAGTCAAAAATATTGTTTTGGGGTTTTTTCTTCTCAAAATTGGCAGTCTTTTTTTCTTAGTGCAAAAAAAATAAAAACTGCACAGGCAATCGAATACCCCCGAAAGTAAGCTCAATTTGTGTGGAGGGAAAAAGGACATAAATTTAATTGGGGTGCAATGTTGCATGACCGTGCAATTGTCAGTTAAAGTAACGTAGCGCTGGAACACAAAAAAAGTGATAATATAAAAAAATAAGTCAGCAGCTACAGTTGTAGCTGCTGACCTTTAAAAAGCAGCCACCTGTCCCCTGATCCCGTGGTGTCTCAACACCCCCCATCCCTCCGCAGCCCATTTCATTGGCTGCCCTGTGTTCCCGGCGTCAGGTATCTTCAGTGTGGGCACCTGGCTGTGGCAGCTTGCGGATTCACAGCAGGGTGCCCACTGCGCATGCGTGAGTAGCACTGCGCTTTCTGAATGGTCCCGTAGTCTTCTAGGACCTGTCACGTGTCCCAGAAGACTTCGGGAAGGGGGGAGTACAACTTCCGTTTCCAATTACTTAAGCGATTGAAGCAGAAATGGGTGCGGGTACCTGTCGATTTTGGGTACCCGCTCCCTATAGGTGCCAATCCTTAATGGGGAGCCAGGGGACCAGTATTAAAGCGGAACTTCCCCTTTTTGGTGGAGCTGCGCTTTAAATCTGAACTCCAGGCAAGCTGCTCAATACACAGTTCAATATACATGTTTATGGTTTTATCAAAGGATTTATAATTTTGGGCCAGTTGTTCTCGATATATATCTCCTGCTAGTCAGAAGATCAGTCTACTACTGCTTAGTTTAGCCTTTTAACTCCCTGCTGCCAGGTAATGGTTGAGTCATTGTCCCACGAAGATGAACCAGGAAAGACATACGTCACCTGCCTAACTGTGCTGGTGTGTAAATCACAAGACTGGCCAAGCAGAATTACTTTGGTAGGCAAAACGGTGAACATGAATGTATTTAAAAAGTGCATTTACATCACTTTGAACAAAAAGCGCATCTTAAATAGTAGAATGTTTCACGTTTTGTGCATTGAGCTGTTACTGTCCACAACTAATTTCTTGATTGTTTCTAGGTGGCCATTGCTTGCCAATACCGTGTGGCTACAAAGGACAAAAAGACGGTTCTAGGTACTCCCCCGGAGGTCCTCCTGGGGTTGCTGCCAGGAGCTGGGGGCACTCAGAGGCTGCCCAAGATGGTAGGTGTCTGTCATGTGGGGGTATGTCGATTTTAAATGGGAACCACTGATATTTAAGTGGGCAGCACAGTGGCTACATGGTTAGCACTTCTGTCTGGCAGTAGTAGGGTCGTTGGTTCGAACTCCAGCCATGGCACCACCTGCCTGGAGTTTGCATGTTCTCCCTGTGCCTGCATGGGTTTCCTCCCACACTCCAAAGACATGCTGGTAGGTTAATTGGCTCCTGTCTAAATTGGCCCTAGTATGTGTATGTATGGATGTAAGTTAGGGACCTTAGATTCAGTATATGTAAGTAAGTGAGCGCACTCTAAAAAGCGACCAATGCACTAAAAGGAACCACAAAACCTTCCTACTAAAATCATAAAACGGAGTGCAGCGCTAAATCAAATTAAGACAAATAAAACCTTTAACATAACAGATTATATGACAGATAGAAGTCCACTTGTATTAACATAATATGAGTTATGTAGTCCACCATAAAATATCAATCACTGTGAGTACGATCCAATCTTCTGTTGTAAAGATATGAATAGATTGCCTACTCGCCAGAAGCACAATATCATTGCGCATATCTAGATCACATGCATCCTGGGGTCCCGGGTAGAAACAGCCTGGTGCTAGGATCCTCTGGTGGTCCCTCAGTGGTATATGGGAAGGATAAAGGTCTGATCACAAGGTGCTTAATCCTCAGGTCTGCAACAGTACCTGAAATACTGGTGCTGAGGTATGGAGGCTCAGTGCCAGGTATGGGGAATAAAGGTGCTCATAGTGTAGTATTAAGAATAATAAATTTATTGTATCAAATAAGAACAATAACGTACATAAGCAATTAAAAGGTTACAAGAGACTGTTGTGAGCAATCATAAAAAGCACCCAAACAAGCACTGACCAGTACAAATCAAGTGTGGGCCGCCGGACCTCCTGATCCGGCGGCGTGACGTCAAGGCGTGCGAGGGCTCCTCCTATAGGAACCTTTTAGTTGCTTATGTACGTTATTGTTGTTCTTTGATACAATAAATTTATTATTCTTAATATATACAGTCAGGTCCATAAATATTGGGACATGGACACAATTCTAACATTTTTGGCTCTATACACCACCACAATGGATTTTGAAATGAAACGAACAAGATGTGCTTTAACTGCAGACTGTCAGCTTTAATTTGAGGGTATTTACATCCAAATCAGGTGAACGGTGTAGGAATTACAACAGTTTGCATATGTGCCTCCCACTTGTTAAGGGACCAAAAGTAATGGGACAATTGGCTTCTCAGCTGTTCCATGGCCAGGTGTGTGTTATTTCCTCATTATCCCAATTACAATGAGCAGATAAAAGGTCCAGAGTTCATTTCAAGTGTGCTATTTGCATTGGAATCTGTTGCTGTCAACTCTCAAGATGAGATCCAAAGAGCTGTCACTATTAGTGAAGCAAGCCATCATTAGGCTGAAAAAACAAAACAAACCCATCAGAGAGATAGCAAAAACATTAGGCGTGGCCAAAACAACTGTTTGGAACATCCTTAAAAAGAAGGAACGCACCGTGAGCTCAGCAACACCAAAGACCCGGAAGACCACGGAAAACAACTGTGGTGGATGAGCGAAGAATTCTTTCCCTGGTGAAGAAAACACCCTTCACAACAGTTGGCCAGATCAAGAACACTCTCCAGGAGGTAGGTGTATGTGTGTCAAAGTCAACAATCAAGAGAAGACTTCACCAGAGTGAATACAGAGGGTTCACCACAAGATGGAAACCATTGGTGAGGCCTCAAAAACAGGAAGGCCAGATTAGAGTTTGCCAAACGACATCTAAAAAAAGCCTTCACAGTTCTGGAACAACATCCTATGGACAGATGAGACCAAGATCAACTTGTACCAGAGTGATGGGAAGAGAAGAGTATGGGAGAAGGAAAGGAACTGATCATGATCCTAAGCATACCACCTCATCAGTGAAGCATGGTGGTGGTAGTGTCATGGCGTGGGCATGTATGGCTGCCAATGGAACTGGTTCTCTTGTATTTATTGATGATGTGACTGCTGACAAAAGCAGCCGGATGAATTCTGAAGTGTTTCGGGAATATTATCTGCTCATATTCAGCCAAATGCTTCACAACTCATTGGACGCCGCTTCACAGTGCAGATGGACAATGACCCAAAGCAGACTGCAAAAGCAACCAAAGAGTTTTTTAAGGGAAAGAAGTGGAATGTTATGCAATGGCCAAAGTCAATCACCTGACCTGAATCCGATTGAGCATGCATTTCACTTGCTGAAGACAAAACTGAAGGGAAAATGCCCCAAGAACAAGCAGGAACTGAAGACAGTTGCAGTAGAGGCCTGGCAGAGCATCACCAGGGATGAAACCCAGCGTCTGGTGATGTCTATGCGTTCCAGACTTCAGGCTGTAATTGACTGCAAAGGATTTGCAACCAAGTATTAAAAAGTGAAAGTTTGATTTATGATTATTATTCTGTCCCATTACTTTTGGTTCCTTAATAAGTGGGAGGCACATATGCAAACTGTTGTAATTCCTACACCGTTCACCTGATTTGATGTAAATACCCTCAAATTAAAGCTGACACTGCAGTTAAAGCACATCTTGTTTGTTTCATTTCAAATCCATTGTGGTGGTGTATAGAACCAAAAATGTTAGAATTGTGTCGATGTCCCAATATTTATGGACCTGATGTATATATTCTTAATATATATATACACACCCACACACCACACACACATTCACTTCAGTCCCTTACCCTCAAGGAGCATACAATAGAGGGATGGGTTATACCCCATCTCCAGGTGACTGGACACTAGCAACTGGCAAACTCGACACCTACCAGCATTGCCTCAGTTTTTGCCCATAGTTGAACTTGCGTCTCTCTACCGAGAGAATGTTCTGCCCAGGGGCGGACTGACCATTTGGAAACTCGGGCACTGCCCGAGGGCCCGTGGTCAGTAGGGGGCCTCATGAGATGCCCCTGGTACCTTTTTCATAGGCTTTTTTTGAGTTTGGGCAAGGACACAGGGGCCCTATTATCCCCTATTGCCCGGGGGCCCCATGAGTTGTCAGTCCGCCCTGGTTCTGTTCTAAACCACTGGTTGAATTCCTCTTTCAGTCAGGACTTGGACACTATAATAGGTCAGGTTTTTGCCTTGGCGATGCTCTTTCAGAGACCCATGGCTGCTTACTCCATGATCAGAGCCTTGGTGTTAAAGTGGCCCACCAGTATGCTCCCTGCTAACGGTGTGGTGTCATTCAGAGACCACCATGTGAACCCATTTGGCATATTTCTCTCCCTCTCCTATCACAGAAGGTTCACAAGGACAAGGTTTTGTTGAGACCATGTAGTTCCTTCCTGCCTAAGGTGGTCTTGGGATTTCTTTTGGAACCGGACTTGGTGTTGCCTTCCTTTTTTGTCTGGATCCAAAACCTCCTAAGGAGATTGCGCTCCACTGCTTGGATGTGTTTAGGGCTTTGCAAGTCTACCTCACAACCTCGATTCGTCAACCTGGTGCCCTGTTTGTGTTGCCTGAAGGCTCTCCGAAGGGACAGGCTGCCTCTCAATCCATAATTTATAGGGGGATAAGGCCAATCGTTGCTCAGACATACTACATAAAGGTTAGGGTTCCTCCCTTTCCTACAAAGCCACACTCTACCAGACGTGTTGAGGATTGTGCTCACGGGTGTTGCACTTTTTTTTTTGTTGTTGTTTTTTTTACAGCTTTACATTAAGGAAGTCTGTACTTGGTTTTAATGCTTGTCATTTCTTCCAAGGTTGGGATACCTGCTGCCTTTGACATGATGCTAACTGGCAAGAACATTCGTGCTGACCGTGCCAAGAAGATGGGTCTTGTAGACCAACTTGTGGATCCACTGGGTGAGTCCTCATGTCACATCCTGCAGCTTCTTATATTAAAAATAAATTGTAGTCTCAATACTTAACTGAACCCCATCTCGATCCAGCGATGTGCACAAGAGCAGCGCCTGTCGGAGTCTCTCCCTCCTCATTGACTTGGCCTGGGCTCGGTCTACTGTCACACAGCCAGTGAGCCAATGGGGGTGAGTGGGGGTGGGGCCATGCCACACTCTGTCTGAATTGACAGAGCAGCAGCTCGAAAGCGAGCCTGCTTAGGTTCCCCCCGTAGCAAGCACACGGTAGGAGGGAGGGTTAAGGAGCACCAGGGTGGGGGAACCCAAGCAGAGGATCGGGACTGCTCTGTGCAAAACCATTACACAGAGCAGGCAAGTATGACATATTTGTTATTAAAAAAAAAAAAAAAACTTCCTTTCATCTCACTTTAAGTGCTCATTTGCACATGTGCGGTGCAGATTGAAGCTCAGGTTTCACAGCTAATTGATACAGTATTTCTTGAGCGGTTCAGGTCAGGTTTGGATCAAGTCAGGTTAGGATTTTATCTAGTTCACAACTGATGACACATGTGGTTTAGAAACAGTTCCCATAGAAGTCAGCCTGTAATCCACACCTGAACTGGACCGCACTGCTCACAATCGTATAGGACTTTTTTTTTTTTCTTTTTTCAATCCACACTGCCAGTGCATCGGACATATGTGAACAAGCATTATAGGAAGCAATGTTATTTCACATGCCATGCAGGATTGTATGCGGTTCAAACCGCATCCAGTTTGCATATATGTGAAATGGCACTGAATTATATTAAACTGACATTGTTCACCCAGTTTCTAGGCCTTGGAAAATGCAGCAAGTGTTGTGACCTTCCCTTTTTTTTTTTTTTTTTTTTAACTCAGGACCTGGTCTGAAAAGCCCTGAAGAACGGACTATGGATTATCTGGAGGAAGTTGCAGTGGACTTTGCCAGGGGATCGCCAACAAGAAAATTTCACTGCAGAAGCAGAAGGGACTGATAGCAAGTAAGAACTGGCTGTTGACTCATAAAGGTTCAGTCTGGCCCAAAGTGACATTTCAGGTCTAGGTTCTGGTGGCCAAAGCCACCCATTGGATTGTTTTCTCTTGACAACTCCTCAGGGGGATCTCTTGGACATCGTTCCAAACACTGTTTCACTCGGAAGCTTTGGGTTTTTGCAGTTTTTCTGACTTTCTTCAGGATATCAAGATTTCCAAAAAGCCAAATAGGAACTAGTTGTTGGTGTGCAGATCAAAGATTGCAGAGCAGAAATCCCACTAATAGGATCTCTAAGAGGAGATATAGTACCGATTGTCAGGTGGTTTACTACTCCATCTACTACATACTGAAATATCAGTTTCTGGTAGGCTACTGCTTAAAGGAGAAGTATAGCCAAAGCTCGTTGAGCTATATGTCACAGAGCTGGTCCAGGCTCTGAAAAGATTCCTACCATGGTTTGAATCCACTAAGAAGTCTGGACCGACACCTGGCTCAGCCGCTCAGCGATCCGCTGAGAAACACAGCCTGCCCCTTCCACAGCCCAGCGCTCCAGGGAGCACTGGAGGGGCAGAGCAAAAAGCCAGTAACTGGCAGTTCACAGCTCACTGAGAACTGAGCAATCTGTAGTCTTTGATCGCTCAGTTCTCATTCTTGGGCTGCTTTCACACTGAGGAGTTTTTCAAGCGTTTTTACGTTTAAAAAAAGCGCCCGAAAAGCTCAAGAAAACTGCTTCCCTGTGTATGTGAATGTATATCTATGTATGTTTTCACACTGAGGCGTTGCACTTGCGTTGCGGTGTAAAAACCGCAACGCAGCATCTTTGGGGCATGTTTGGGTGTTTAAAAAAAAAAAAAAAAAAAAGCCCCAAAACACTTTTCCCATCGAAATCAATGAAAAGTGCCTCAAACACCTCTCAGAAGTGTTTTTGGAGCAGTTTTTAAGTCACATGTTCTTTAACCCCCCTGGAGGTATTCCCAAGTGTAGCTGTGGGTAAAGTTTCAGCACCACAAGCGGTAACCCCGAGCTACACTCGGGAATACCTTGCAGCGTTGCTCCGGGATCTCTTCTTCACTTACCCTGTCCTGCGCTCCCGCGATGTCCCTCCTGCAGTGTCCCCGGCAATGTCCTCCGGCAGATGCCGGCATCTATCTTCTGGGTTCCGTTCCCTGCGACGTCGGGACGTACGGGGGACGGAACTGGCGGGAAATTTGAAAGTTTTAAAAGTGACTTTCACTAAATACACTAAAATCACATAGTATAACATTCCTGTATCAAACCATTTCACATACATTTTGTCCCGAGTGCTTTGTCCGGCGCCCTGCCTGCATTTTTACTGTTCTTTCTGCCTGGAAACTGAGAAATGTCCATGGCGTCCAACAAAGCGTCCCTTTAGGTCAAAAGCGGTTTTGGACCGGCTAGAGAACAGCGATAGTAAGTCAGAACCACTTGCAGAATTGAGTGATGATTTGTGGGGGAAATTCCTCATCAGACACTGAAAACGATTCTGCGATTTTGCTCAATGATGTGCAAACTTGGCGCTGTATTTCACATTTCAGTGTTTTTGGTTTGATTATATTATTGAATTAAATGTATTATTATTATATTATATTATTATTTATGATTATTTATTAAATTACAATTTAGTGTTTCACATTTTAACATACCCGGGATGTTTACTAGACTCTTGTTCGGACAGATTTCAGTGAGTTATTCCTAAAAAATTACAGGCCTACAATAAAAAAATACATATTTCCATGCAAAAAAAGTACCGCTTTGAGCACAGAAATATGGACATAATCAGGTCGCTAAGGAGGCTAAAAACACCCAGAAGCGCAGTAAAAATGCCTATGCGTTTTTGCTGTGTTTTTGCAGCAGATTGGTGTTTAAGTACCTTTAGAGCCAGCGGGGGACAAATGCAGCTTTGATCCGATTCACCTAGGTGAATAGCTAACCCATACTTGTCTTTTAAAAGGATTTTTCAAGTTTGCATAGCTTTTGTACTTTAACTGTTTCGATACCGCAATACGTATCCTCGTATTGAAGAGGCTATACTGGGATGATGGTTATGGGCTCAACCATGAACCGATATCTATTTTTTTTTTTTTTTTTTTTGTGCTGTCATTTCTCTTATGTAAAAGTAGTTGGACCCCAGATCTCTCCATAAAGAGACCTTTCACTGCCTATGGTTGTCACATTGCTTGTGACAGCAATAAAACTGCTAAAAACAATTGAAGAAAACAAATCGAGGAAACGTTGTAAAAATAAAATAAATAAAAGCCCCTCTGCCGGCATTCCCCCACATGCCCCCCTGCACATACTTGCATGCAAAGGTGAACGCACGGGTTGGTCTCGCACTCAAAACGCAAACATCAATAACCAAACATGAGGATTTGGCACGCATGTCAGAGCAAAACCGATATAATTCTAGCACCAGACCACCTACAGTGGGGATCGAAAGTTTGGGCACCCCAGTTAAAAATTTGTATTAATGTGCATAAAGAAGCCAAGGAAAGATGGAAAAATCTCCAAAAGGCATCAAATTACAGATTAGACATTCTTATAATATGTCAACAAAAGTTAGATTTTATTTCCATCATTTACACTTTCAAAATAACAGAAAACAAAAAAATGGCGTCTGCAAAAGTTTGGGCACCCTGCAGAGTTAATATTTTGTACTGCCCCCTTTGGCAAGTATCACAGCTTGTAAACGCTTTTTGTAGCCAGCCAAGAGTCTTTCAATTCTTGTTTGAGGTATCTTTGCCCATTCTTGCTTACAAAAGTCTTCCAGTTCTTTGAGATTTCTGGGCTGTCTGTCACGCACTGCTCTTTTAAGGTCTATCCATAGATTTTCAATTATGTTGAGGTCAGGAGATTGTGAAGGCCATCTTCAGTTTACGCCTCTTGATGTAATCCCCCGTGGATTTCGAGGTGTGTTTAG